GCCTCTGAGGCTTTGCCAGAGCAAAGCCTCAGAGGCGCGGCACCCCGCCGCCGTTGCGGATTTGCTCCCCGTGTCCTTGGTCTGCTGAGGGGGGGCCGCAGCTAGTGCGCCCCCCCCAGCAGACCAGGCTTTTGTTGTGGACCCTGGGGTAGAGCAGCTGGGGTGCTGCCGGGTTGGTCCTGCAGGGACCTACCTGGCAGCCCGCCTGTTCTGCCCCAGGCTCGAGATTCAGCCGCTGTTGAAACTGATCAGTGGCTGATTCCAGGAAGCTGGGGGCAAAGCAATTCTGCCTCCAGCTTCCTGTAGTCAGCCCCTGGTCAGTTTCAGCAGCAGCGGCTGAATCTGGAGCCAGTTCCGACTTACATACAAATTCAACTTAAGAACAAACCTATAGTCCCTATCTTGTACGTAACCTGGGGACTGCCTGTATTCAAATTCCTTATGTATACTCAAGTTTGAAGAGTCTCTCTGCTTGAATGACATGACATTGGTTCCAGTTATATTGGAAGAAGCATTCTCTGCTAGAGGTAGCAGATCCACATGGTAATTGTATTAAAAAGATTGGAGAAGGCAGTAAGGGAGGATACTAACAAAAAAAATATCAACAAAAGTGCGAGAATTTACAAATAGGCCTAGTATGCAAGATCAAATATGCTCATTCCCATCTTGGCACTGTACAAAGGTAAACCACTATTTCAGCAGAGGAAAGAGATAATGAGCCAATTTAATCTCTTAGCATGCAGACTGTTTTCATAAATTAATGTCTGTTAATACTGCCAGTATATTTTGATAAATCCTTGTGTTGACAATATGAGTGAAATCAAAGATGAGTTTTGTTTTTATAAAAACAGCTCCTTTATTACCAGTTTCAACTAGGGATATTAGCTACTGATTAATTTAATAATAATGCAACCCCACAGAATCTTAGCAGTTACACAATTATTCGATAGGACACGGAGGGCGGGGGCAGCAGCCAGTACACTTCCAGCCTCACTACCTGACAGCCCCCTGCGCTGCTGCTTCTGATACAGGGGAGGGCCTGATCTTCTTGTGGACGGTCTGCACCGGCATGCCATGGAGCACCCTCTGTCCACCGCATGCCTTGGCCCACCACAGACTGAGACTGTTCTGTGGCAGCCTCCTCTGCCCACACCCCACACTGCTGAATAGATCAGAAGAATGACTTCTCATGTAGTAAGAGGCATGGGAGACAGCAAGTGGCTTGGCGGAGCCAGCATGTGTGGAAAGACAAGTTCCCACATGTACCAGCTCCCGCCTGCCCCCCTCACTTTCCATGTTGCTGCCTCTCTAATAGAGACAGCAGCACGGGAGTGGGAGGGGGGCAGGCAGCTCCGCGGGATCTGCTGCTCATGGGGAGCCTGCTTAAAAGCAAGCTCTTGCCTCCCTTCCCTCACCCCACCCCCCATTGCGGCTTCTGATACAGAGGCAGTAAAAGGGAAAAAGTGTGTGCAGTCGACAGGATTAACCAATAAACTCAGGCTTACTGGTTAATCATGTAGTTGACTATTCATTGACATCCCTAGTTTGAATTATCCCATATTAAATGTCAGTTGTAGTATCTGGAGAGACAATCCATGTGGATCAAGTATAAAAACAATTTTAACTTGGGGAGTGGCAATTTCAATAACACAAATTAAGGTCAAAATAGCTGTATTTAAAAATAAGAAAGTCTAAGTAAATCACACTAACATCAGCTTCTTCAGCAGTATTTTCAAGACTAAAATTAAACTCTTATACATAGCAAAAGTAATAATGACAAGATAATGAAGTAACTGCTCAATGAAGAAGGAAAAACAATAACAGAAAATGTGGAAAAGGCAAAAGTGCTTAATGACTTCTTTGTTTCAGTTTTCACCAAGAAGGCTGCTGCTGATGAGATGCTTACAGTAGTGAATACAGGAGAAAAGGAAGTTGATTCAGAAATTAAAACAGGAAAAGAACAAGTTAAAAATTATTTAGAAAAGTTAGATGTCTTCAAGTCACTAGGGCTTGATGAAATGCATCCTAGAATACTCAAGGAGCTCATAGTGGACCACAAGCTAAATATGAGTCAAGTGTTACACTGTTGAAAAAAAGCAAACAAAAAACAAACACCCTCTCCCCTCAAAAGGCAAACTTTATTTTGTGATGCATTAATAGGAGTGTTGTAAGCGAGACATGAGAAGTAATTCTTCCGA